AAGTCAACTTATGTTTCAAACAGTATGAAATATTACGATCCAGCACATGATACCAGAGCAACACCACTATTTGATCTACCAATTAGGAGAACTGATTACACAAAATATGAGCCAATAAATTATATGCTTACAACATTCAACGAATTTTATACCAAAAAATTGCAAAACAGTGATAAAAATTTAATTGATTTAGAAGTAAATTTATCAACAGTAAAACTGAGAATAGAGAATTATTTAAAGCAAAGCAGATAAATACAAAAATTTGTTATGGATTATAGAAATTTTAAGCAGATGAAAAATTAATTTATGAAATTTATATTATTTACATGAGAGGAGCAATAATTTTACATTTTCTCTCTCAAAAATGCTTGATAAAAATCAAATTGTATTATATTATATATATTTAATTAAATTATTTTCAATAAACCACCAAGGCGAAGGAACGCTGTTCGGTGCAGTTATTATTATTATTAAATATCTTGATGAAAAAATAGAATTATTTAAAAATTCGGATACGTTGTGTTTTTCTTCAGTTTTCTTCTTTTCTACTAGAATTATTATAGCGTAAAATTCTTTCAGGTTAAACATGATTCTTGAACACTTCACCTTGGCGTTTGCACTCATTGTATTTCGTTGCAATTCGCTGCCGCTAGACGAATCAACGCTTTCTGCATGTATGGTGGACAAGGCCAGATCATGTAAACCTGATGTGGTATTGCGTAGCAAAACTTCTAGAGGACTCGACTCGGATACCTTGTGATTTTCTTCAGTTTTCTTCTTTTCTATTAGAATGAACATAGTGTAAAATTAGTCAGACACTATGATCTTATATGCCTGCTTATATCTTAGCTCACCCTGATGCTTAGCTCACCCTGATGACTACAATCATGGTACGATTAAGCATTTAAATCCATAGTTGAACAGTTTGTGCATCCGATGAAAATTCAATTTCTTGGCTACCTTTTCGTTCGTTGTATAATCGAAAATAGTTGCGTTGATCTTCGAATGTGAACCCAAGTGTGATGTGTCTAAAGTGTCCACGGTATGAAAGTTTGTTTTTGTTCGTTTGCTCCGTATAAATGACGCATTTTTCGAATAGAAAAGCCTTGCCCTTATACCGGCGACGCTCACTTTTCTCAAAAATGTCAAATTTATCGACTAGACAAAATTTTCCTTGGCACAGTGTGTGCAACTACATTGAATGTGAGGTTAATGAAGAAAGTCCATTGGAAATTGACTATGTATTAGAGTGTCAAAAAATAAAAAAATGGTAGTCGTTCTAAGACAAATCATGACATTTACACAAAGCATCGAATGATATTGACACTTCCCGAAGCAAAAAATTCTTTATAGCAAAATGTGTCTAATGTCAAAATATTGAATTAGCATTATTGATGTGAACCGAGCCTTATGACATTTGACGTTCATTTCATTGGTTTTCGTAATGTCATAATCGCCGCTTCATCCATACCGAGAACATGTTTATCGTTGTAAATACCAAGTTTACGCAGCAGTGTTAATTTCAATTCAACGTTTCAATTATTCTACGATTTTGTTAATAATTCATATTATTTTCGATATACGTGCATTTTGTATCAATTTATTCCGAATTGTTCAACACTTGATCGATCGATTGATCCGGAGTCCAAGCAGATTGTTGAATTCAAATCACCGTGAGTAAACTTAATTTACAGTGAAAATTAAAGTGAAAAATATTGGTGAATTCATCGGTAAAAATTATTATTTTTGATGAGAAATTGCCAGCGAATACACGATTTATTCAAAATTTGAATTACGTGCTTATTCTAAGCAGTTATTCATCTCCTTCTTATTGTGAAATTCATTCTTATTTCATAGCACGACATATAAGCCATTTGTAACGTAAAATATATTTAAACTAGTCCAATAATTATTTAACGTTGAACATATTAACAGTAACATGACATTTTATGAAAAAAGTAATGTATTTCACAATTATTCTGCAGTACATAATTCTGTTGCGTGAGGTGGTGAAATTCATTTCAAGCAGTGATACCCATTTTGAATTGGTTCCATTGTTTAGAAAAGAGAAACAATAACTCGCTTATCAAAGAAATGTGTTTAATTTTTTTTTCTCTCTAAATCACTGCCATTCTACCCTCACTTGCTTTCTATATCACCTGTATATTTTTTTTGAGCTTCACGTTCCGAGCGACATCTCTATGTGCTTGGCATTGAACTCGCGATCCAAACGAGCACCAAAGGCAATTAAAACATTTTTTTTTTTGGTGCGAAAAAGTCAAAAATGTCAACTGATTTTGTGTGAAGAAAAACCATGTGATATGCAACGTCCTCGCAGTTAATTTCGATGACACAAACTGTGCAAAGTAATTTCAATTTATTTTCCATCACAAATTCACTAAATACAAATAATAAATCGGTTTTTGTTCAATTTACACGGTATATCTTTATCGAGCGTAAAATGACAGACGTCACAACAAATGATTCCGTATTCAAACTTCAAACAATTAACATTCTACACAAACTTTTTGTTCTAATTTTCATGAGCACATAGAGATGGCGCCATCATGCAGTTTTTTACATTATTTGCCATTGTAAGTGATGGTAGCTGCCATTGTTATCAATCCGAAGATTTTTGTCCATGTGTGTGTATCAAAAAAAGCGATAGATTCGTGTTTTGTTGTCGTTCGATCAAATTGAATTCGAAACATATGTGAATATTTGTGTTGATTGGTTAAAAGGATTTTTCACTTTGATCGTATGTTTTGCATCTGTGCATTCGGTTGATATTTTCAAATTACATGTGAATGCTTTTATTTCAGTGCTAGTGCACATTTTTTTTCAATGTATATATTTTTTTATATACTTTTTTTCGATCGAACATTGTTTGATGTGAAAAGTCGTCACTTTTAAATTATATGGATCAATGAAAATTCAATACAAATTCGTTTTCAAACTAAATCGAATGTTTGTTTTTTTTTTCAATAGGAAAATGGCGAATCGTTTCAAGCCATCCATACCAGCGAAGGGAGAAACGAAGGATGAGATTACGACGATCAAATGTGCGCTGAAGACAATCATTCGCCCACAATTCCAGCAAGCATTGATGAGCAAAATAACGGACCTGAGTTTGCAAGCCACTTCAATTTGCTTTTTGGGCTCATTACTGTTCTTGTTCGAGGTGCAAAAGGCGTACGAACATAGGCATTGAGAATAATGATTTCGCATTCTTTGGTGGAAGTGGAGAAAAAAAGATCCGACTCTGCTTTCACCAAGTGCTATGGCATAACAATCAGACACCGAAACCGAAGAAGTCGACGTACAAACCCACAGGAAAAAAGCCACGAGGACCACGACCAGAGCTGCCACGTATCGACCCTGAATTCAAAGCAATTTTCGAAGGTAATAAATAATAATCGTTGATTTATTAAACAATTAAACCCTCTTATAAAATAGCGAGTTTTGACTACACAGTACACAATTTAGTTGAATTTGAAAAACATATTTTATTTTTAGGTCTTGACGACTATCATCGTATCGATTGGCCCAACAACAAGGATTTCAGCAATGGCCTATGGCATTTGACCAATCAATACATAGACAACGTCGTCACCAACTCAACAACGCATCCTGACAAACACATCACCCAGTACTTGAGACTAAAAGTGTTCGAATTGAACACAGACGGAGAAGAGGACGCAGAGAAATTTTTGCAAAGTGACATCGAAAGTGTTGTAAAACTGATCATCAAAGAGAAAAACATCAGAGTGCCAATTCACGATCCAAACAAACTCGAACGGTGTGGCATGTTGTATGACATGGTGAACGACCTGAATGTGTTTCCAGAAATCGATCTGCATGACCTCACAACTGACAAAAAACATTGGTTTAAGGCCATGCCAATGTTCCTATCTATGCAACGCGAGATAGAAGAGTACAACTTGGAGTGGCCATATCAGCACCGATCCAAACGAAACAAAAGAAAGCGCAAAAAGTCAAAGCGTCGCCCCAAGCGCAAACAAATGCTCGACGATCCAAACTTTCGGCCATTCATCCGGAATTTAGTAGTTGTGCCGATGTGAATGGAATCAGTATTTCTATATGCGGAAAATTCGACGATTCGTGCGCGGAAAAAAGAAGTTTGATTTTTCCATAAACACCGATGGAATCGCTGTGTCTCTGCAATACTCGGCCAAAAAGAAGACGAATAACACAGAATACGACCGTTCTCGCATCGTTGAAATGATTTTGGATGGCAAATTCGAAAATTTTGCAGGCGTTGATACAGGCTTGAAAAGTTGGAACACCACAGTGACACACAACATTATAACTGGCACCGAAGTAAGTTTTTACATTTATGTTGTATATGTATCAATGGAAGATAGACCGCGTAAGTGCTAAAATTCAATAACTAATCATTTAAAAAAAAAAAATTCAGACCAACTTCGTAATGTCGAGTAAGCAGTTTCACTGGCAAACAGGCCAAAACGTGCGAAATGCCAAAGCAAAGCGTTGGACCAAAAAGTTTGCCGAAGAGGAGCGCCGAGACAGAGAAAACCGTGAGCTGTACCCGGTGATGCCATCACCAAAAGGGTCACATTGGCTGGACTACATCAAGCACCGTGTCAAGATGATGAAGCATGGAATCTGCGCTTACTCGACTGCCAAGTACACTCGACTCGCCTTGGACAAACACATCAAAAGCAGTAGTGTTGTCGACAATTGGGTGGAAAAGGTTACCGATAAGCAGCCGACATTGTTTCTTTTTGGTGCTGATGGGGAAGTACCACCTGACAGCCGAATAAGTATCAAAAAGCACGTGCGGTGTCCAGGGGTTCGTTTGACTTTGAGGTCAATAAAGAAACGTCGAGATTGTGCCATAGAGCTGGTGGACGAATGGGGATCATCTCAAACAGACGCAAGATGTATGAAGCGATTCCAAAACCAGCCCAAATCGGCCAGATTCAAGAAATGCCGGTGCATACCCGACGCCAGAACATTGCTGCCAATTAAAATTGTGTCAAAGTTGGGCAAGAAGGATCTATCGGAATTTCGATTGTTGCAACGCGCCATGAACGAAGCATTGGAAGAAAACGAGCCTTTATTGTCAAAAGTAAAAAGTTACTATAAAAACTGGCAATTAAACCTCGAATGTTCTGTGACTTGGCATCGTGACGTCGTGGCTGCTTAGAACATTCTGCTGAAAGGTAAGGCTAATTGACGATACAATTGCGATTGAATGATTGCTTAAGAAGATTCATTTGTTTGATTTTTCAGGACTATGGACATTGCTAGGACTTCCGATACCGGATGCGATCAATA